TACATAATATTCCCATATATTTCTTTTACTATTTTAAATATGACAACACTGATTGTCCTTTCTTGGTCATTGCTGTTCTGGTGTGTGCACTATTTATACTGAAGCTTCCATTACATAATTATCTCTAGACTTTCACCTTATCCTCCATACGCTGTGCTCAGATATCACACTGTGCCTCTATAAGAGTTGGCGATTTAATCTTATGTAACATATGTGCTTCTCATTTGAAGGAGCAGAGAAAGCCAGGAATATGACATCTTGAGTTTATTGTTAAAAACATGTGCTATGTTGGAGGAAATTCACTCTAATGGTTTAAATTTCACCCTAAGATTAAGGGCTTATGAAGGCCTGAGTAGCATGTTATTCAGACCATTTTTAGGCAGAGAATTCATGTTCTAACATGTTTATTCTGCTCAGCTTTTGTTAGGCTTTTTTTGTGTATGTTACAGAAGGATAGGGAATAGGCGGTCATACAGACTGTCTGTCCCTGGCTGCAGTCTTGGAGCTAATCAGTGACTGATGACCTGCAGGGAGCAGAGAGGGTATAATCATTTAAGTGGCATAATTTGATAGAACATTGATTAATCCAGTGGTGAGGCAAGGGGACATCTAAATACTCATTGGAGGGGGAAGTAACTGCTCATCCACAGGATTTTTCTCCTTTTAAAGGAGGGGATTTGCATTCTCGATGGCCCATCAACCATAGGCAGTGGTTCTGTTGCTGTCTAACTATAGTATGATTTTGGTATACATTTTGGAATTGGTCTGCGCTGATGCAGTCCTTGTCATCTTGCATGTAGCCCCGGCAGAAGCCCAGACTGACTATGGCTATGCTCAAAGAGGATTGCTTACAAAGCTTTTAACGTAGCTGCTTACCCATGAAGCATCCTCTCCAATGCTAGCACTTCAGATGCTGGCACTGTTGTATCAGTCCCTAAGCACCTGTGTGTTCCTGCTTCAGTCTGGCCAAATTAAAGGAAAAGTATCACTTGCTTGACACACATAAACCATGGTTTTTTTCCTGACTTTCTACTAAAGACAATTTTTTCTCCATCTTCTTCTTGAAGAAGGACATCCCTTGGGAATAAAACACATCTAGAAAGGAATAGGATACTGAAGAGGTGATCAGCTTTCTTGATTGTACTAAAGCTGAGAAGCATCAGATAGGTGCCGTATGTCTTGGAAAGCAGTGGAAAGTTGAAGCCTTGGGAGTAATTTACAGGCATGAGACTGCGATTCTAGAGACTTACTAGGAATTACCGTGAGCCTTGGTGTAACTGCACAGAGCACTGGAATCCGCACACTAGCCCCCACAAATTCACTTGAGAGTGAAAGTCTGAGCAAGTCCTGCTGTTGGTTAAGTACAATAATCAGACTGAGGTTCTTCTCGTATGTATTGATGACATTTTATGTAGAAGGATACAGTAATGTACAGATAACAGCAACATGGGTTTTTAGCTCATTTCTGATGAATATTCAACATCACAGAGGGATCAGCTGTGAAACTGCAGGTATACTCCTTTTATTCCTCTCTTCTCCCTATCTTCTTTCCTCTCTGGATTTTGAGCATCTTAGCAGACAGAAGGATTAAGACTTAGCAAACTTGTTAAATCCAAATTATGGACTCTAAGTAGAAAGCAAAAAGGGGAAATGAAATTCTGAAAACAACCAACCTATGCCATCTTCCTGATCTTATCTAAACCCTGATAAAAGACTCTCCATCTCTCCTAAAATCACTGGAAGTGATACTGTGGTAGACTACGAAATAAGTGTTTGAGGTATCTCTTTCTCATCCCCTTGATGTTTATCACACTGCTATATGCATGGCTGATGCTCTGAAGGTCAAGCTGGGTTAGTGAAGCTATTCTTTAAGACACATCCCAGAATACTTTCATTTTAACTGACTTTCACCTGATGAAAGTTTAGCCAGTAACTTCGGTGAAATTGCTCTGACCTACAGCTGTTGAGGGTCAAGGCAATGCTATAGGTTACAGTGTACTGTCCCAGAGGTGGGGTGCAGTTGTCTTTTGCTTTCAGCCTGAACAACTAGTTTGTGTTGCTTTGCGCTTTGTAGTGCAACTTTTCAGAGAAAAGAGGCTAGAAAGGGACTTTTCAAAAGCAAATGAAAATTGAGTCTGATTCAGGCTATGTGGACTGGGGAAAGATCAGGGGAATTTTGTCCAATTCCACTTATGTCCCATTATTTCTACACTGTACAGAAGGCTAATGATGATCTATATTGTCATACACTCAAATCAGAGTTTAATTATTAATACCAGATAGCTAAATTTTGGGCATGCACAGTAATTGCCCTTCAGGAGGCAATATTCCTAGTTCTATTCTGGCAATGGTAATTCTAAGTTAAGATATATTTCTAGAACACTTTTGTTATTGGACTTTTTCTATAAACTTGATTGCCTCTAATTAGAAATTATTGGTTTAAATCTACTCCACATGGTCTTTCCTTTTAAGCAGGAAAATTAAACAGTGAATCTTCTCATCTGTCAATTTCTATAAGCCTCCTCCCGCCCCGCTCTCCCTCAGTCACACA